ACTTACTGGGTACCATTGTGGTGTACTCATGCCCTTTCCTGCACATATTTTCGTGTGCAGATCCAGGTGCGAGCTATCAGCCTCCGGGTTAGTGCGTGCTGCTGATTCTAGGAGACTTCAAGGTACTTCTGCTTGCGTCCGCAGATCCTCGGAGTCCCCTTCTACTCCCTCGCCTGGAGACTTTCTTTGTTATCTTCAAACTTTTGTATAGAGCTACATAGATTATAGCAGCTTGTGACTTAGTGATATTCTGGGTCTTGAAAAATTATTTTGTATATGCCGAGTGGTACTACTTTTGGTTATTCACAATATATTGTTTATCTTTAAAATATTGTGTTTTTTTTACATTTTTTGTAATATTAGGCTTACCTAGTCGTAAAGACTAGGTGCGGTCACGACACCTTACGGAGGGTTAATTTGGGTCGTGACACATACCAGCCCTGCCCTACGCGAACGCGAGGGCACCTACGCGAACGTGAGGGCATCTTCGCGAACGCGAAGTGAAATTGGCATTGACCCTCCCCGGGTCCCTTCCTTCTATGCGAATGTAATGGGGCCTTCGCGAATGCGTAGGCCTGGGACCTCAAGGCTCCGCGAACGCGACCCCTTTATCGCGAACGCGAAGGAAAAATTGCCCCACTGCCCAAATCCTTCATCGCGAACGCGTGGGTCCTTCTGCGTTCGCAAAGAAGGAAACCAGAACTGGAATTTCTGGTTTTTCCTAGCTCAGCTCCGGGCGGTCCGAAACACCCCCGACCCACTCGGGACCCCGTCTAAATGTACCAACAAGTCCATAAATATGATACGAACCTGCTCGAACTCTCGAAACGCATAAAACAATAACAAAACCAAGAATTACACCCCAAAACCAAATCAAATCATGTTATGAACTTCAAGTTTTCAAATCGCTCCGAACGCGCCGAATCATACTTAGACTACTCAGAATGACACCAAATTTTGTGGGAAAGTCTTAAATCACCATACGGAATAATTTTCGGTCTCGAAATCCCAATTTGACCTCGATAACATCAAAACCTACTCCAAACCAAATTTAAAGAACCTTAAAACCTTCAAAGAGCCATCTTTCACTATTAGGCACCGAAATGCTCCTGGGTCATCCAAAACCCGATCCGAATATACGCCCAAGTCTGAAATCATCATACGAACTTATTGGAACCATCAAATCCCGATTCCGAGGTCGTTTACTCAAAACGTTGACCGAAGTAAAACTTAACCTTTTTGGCCAACCTTAAGGAACCAAGTATTCCGATTTCAATTCGAACTCTTCCAAATTCCAAACTAACCCTCTCCGCAAGTCATAAAAATAGTAAAAGAATGTACGGAGAGTTTTATTTAGAGGAACTGGGTTCTAGAAAGTAAAACGACCGGTCAGGTCGTTACATGAACGGCCGCCATTTGTTCGTCTATGTATTCATTTATATCTTCAGGATCAGCGAGTTGTAGAGTTGCTGCTGGTAGTGGATAGGTTTCTTTTTTGATAACATGCCATACTTTCACATCATAAGATTTTGCATAGACTTCCATTCACACTTTTCAGTGAGAAAAGTGTTATCCATTGAAGTATGGTGGCCTAACTTGTGACGTTCCCTCTTGAAAGAGTGCTCCAACAGTTATTTGATTGGCCATGATCTTTTCTCACAAGCGGTTAAGCAAAAGTGTGAGACCGACTTTGATACCAATTGAAAGTGCAAGAGGGGGGGTGAATTATAATTTTTCTTTTCTTTTTCGAGGTAGCCTACTAATTTGTGTTCTAGTCAACTGGACTTTTCAGAAATAGAATGTAAAAGATAAATTGCAGAAAGTAAATGACATGGTATGTTTTTATACTGGTTCGGATTCATTCAAGTATGAAGTAGCTTAGTACATATGAGTTGATATTGTTATATACCAACAGCTTATGTCACTCGTTCTTCTCTCTATAATTGATACAATGCCTCACCAGTGTTCTTTTCTCTCTTTCTCTCTCTTCTCTTCTTTGTTACACAAGGAATCTAAAGCAGACTATAGTATTTTGTTTGAAGTAGAACAAAGAGATTGAAGTTGGTTTGATCAAAGTATATCATTCCAAAGCTAGTGCAGTAGGTATTTATACTTCTCGAGGCCTTCAAGTCTTGTACATCTTTTTGAGAGATTGTGAACCCAAGAGAGTTGTATTCAGACGGATTCGTAGATTGATTCTTCCCGAGATTGATTCTTATGCTGACTTATCTTGACTCGCGGGCTTGAGTGATTTTTTCCTTAAATAAGAGAATATTCCCGTTGCCAAATCCCTTGATTGATGCCTTCGATTGACGTCATTATGTGAGAGAATCTTTAGCGGATGATTTCGTGCCCGTAATCTCCTTTGATTTAGATCCTTCCTATAATATCTCTCTTAATTATTTTACCATCTTCCTTTATTAATTTGTCCGCTTCTCTTTCCTTTTTCGTTGGATTTATTTCCTCCATTTTATTGCTCAGAATCTTTTCCTGCACATAAAGAGTAATTGGTTATTTTGCATCATTGAAATTTAGTGAGATCTAACATAAACTTCACGTTCTAAGATTGTGGTTCTTTCGTGACTATTATTATTCGAATATTGATTTTTTTTTCTTGATTTATCATATTAGTTTATTTATTCAATCCTATGCTTAATTATTTGATTGTTTGATCACCAATTGAATACTATCTACGAATCTAGAATTGATCTCGAAAGTGAGAATTCTATATTGCACATAGGATTGAATAGAGCAAGTTCTTGAACCTAATTGTCTTGCTTGGTTGATGTACAGGAATTATAAATGCGTTCTTGTTAGTTCTAATTCTATAGACATAAAGGCGTTAGGTTAGCTTGAATAGGCGAGTAAGAACTCGACAAATTCTTATGAGCGATATTAACTCTGTCAACCAATAAGCTAAATAAATTAGTTAGTCAATTTTAATTGAAGAATACATAGGAATGTTAGATAGCCATAACCTTAGATCGTTTTCATTACATATTGAACAGATAAGGTAAGGTGGAGAAAGACCCAATTTTATAGCACCTTGAATCTACTGATATGTTTCCTTCGGTTCTATTAATCTATCACCTTTGCTTGTTGTTGTTACTACTTATTGTTTCTGTTTCTTTTTCATGTTTTTCTTGAGCCGGAGTTTATCGGAAACAACCCCTTTACCTTTATCACCACTTTATGGGACTACACTGAGTTTTTTTTTGTTGTTCTTGTTCTTGAATCTACTGATGCCCAATTGCAGAAAGAGCAGTAAAACTGTATTACCTTTAGCCGCCTGGATTTTATACACTTGACAAACAAAAATAAACGACTAGAAGCCTAGCTAGAGTACATAGAATGACAGCTACATTCTTTTCTGCAGGTCTTTCAGCAACCAAAATAATTACAATTTCACGACCTGAATCAATGAATACAGAGTAATGGATTTACTTTGAGATGACATTTGAACAGCAAGTACATTTCTGAGTACAAGTCTTAGGAGGCAAAGGGTAGCCAGATGCATAAAGTATCTTGCATTCACGTAGGGTCCGAGGAAGGGCCGTACCCCAAAGGACGTGATGTAGACAGGCTACCCTAATACAAGCATTAGTGGTTGTTTCCACGGCTCGAACCCGAGAGTACAAGTCTTTGGAGATCAACTAATGTTATGAAAAGAATGCTATGAAGTTTATGCATGCCAAAACAAATGGTATGAGATAACAATAAACCAATGCCAGAAAAGAAGTTGCATAAGATTGATCGTTGATCTCTGATGAGTCGACTGCAAGTGGCAAGCCGTCACTGCTAAGCGTGCATGACTGAGGATCAGAACCATCTTTGCTCGTCATTAAAGCCCTTAAAACAGCAGAAACTGTATGAATATAACCAGATGTATTTTTGTTGAGAAGCCAAGTTAAACCCATCATTTGGCAATCCCTGCTGTGCATTTTTCTACTTCTATCCTTTGTTATGGTTGTATTTTCCAATTTGCTGTCACTAAGCTGCAGATATATTTCAACTTAATAGAGAATAAACAAAAAATTATTCACTTGATGGTGCAAAACTTAGTTATTCATACACGACATGCTCAGCCGTTAGCTGGAAACTATTCTAACTAACAAATAGATACACTTCATGCTTGTAATATGGCAAATAAAATTGTATGAGTTTGTTGACCTCCAAGATAAATGCAAATTACAAGATTAATGGCAAAAGTAATCAGAGGAAACAACTGACCGGAACACAGGGCAATAACTACTGCAAAAGGTTATGGTCAGAGGTCTGAATCACCTCCCTCCAACTCAACAAACACAGACGATCCAGCCAAGTATCTGCTAAGGTAACTTTTTTTCATATTTCTTTTCCTTTTATCTAATGATCAAGAAAACCATCTTAAAATTCATTCAGTAGATGAAGTTCAACATGCTCCAGTATTTCAAATGAGACTTAATACTTTTCTTTTCTTTTTCTTTTTTCAGCCTCAGTTTTGCTAACATTTACACCACTGCGCAGGACTAAGAAAGAATTTAGAGGAAGAATATCTCCACATACATAAGTCATGAGTAGAACACTAACCTTAAAATGACTGATCTCCCGGAGATTTAAATTAAAATTAGTTATTGTCTGCTGGTTTGACTACCTAAGACAAACTGCTGGTGATATTTACTAATCCTGAGCCCTTAGATATACTAATCACCTATCTTCTATGTCTAGTGCAGACACAAACTTGAAACAAAAATTGATACTTAAATGATATATTCACATCAGCCAGTGCTCTGGAGATGACTCATTGTGTAAGATTACTTAATTACAGATGAAACTTCCTGAAGAATTAGTGCTGCAAGGTCTGCAGAAGGAGTGATCATAACAACACCACTCTCATTTTGCTTTTTCTTATTCTTCTTTAAGCAGGAGGAGATAATTGTAGTTGCTTCCGAATATCATGAAATCTATAGTTTGGTTTTATTTAAGCAACATAAAAATAGATATGAGCCAAGAACTTGACTTCCTCTAAGCCCTATGTATCACATCACATTCTTATCAGGGAGAACAGGAAATTACAAAAACAAGTTAACACACAAGCTTATTTTAATAACCGGAAAAGAAGATGCTTAATGCTATTGTAATCAACCAATGACTTTCGCTGCAATCATTTGATTATAGTTTATCAATTGGTTGCCTACATCAAAGCAAAGCACAAAGCTGATGCATGACGAAATGGAAGTGTCCAAGTACAATTTAATGAATCACAGTCCTAACTTACGAATGTGTTACCTTATAAAAAATGCCTGATAGGGAAGAGTGTGGTTAGTGTAGGCTCTCGTTGGTGATCATTAGCTATAGAAGATATTGTGGTTGAGCAAACACTAAATGCCTCATTTCTCTTCTACTTTTATTAGTATTATTTTATCTATTGTGGTGGAAACAGCCTCTTGCGGAAATGCAGGGTAAGGTTGTGTACAATAGACCCTTGTGGTCCGGCCCTTCCCCGGACCCCGCGCATAGCGGGAGCTTAGTGCACCGGGCTGCCCTTTTTCTTATTACCCAAGGATGAGGGTTACGGCAGATTGATGTTCACATAAAAATAATCAAATTATGATAACAACAACACTACAAGTGGGATCTGGGGAGGGTAGCATGTACGCGGCCTTAACTCTACCCACCCTGAAAGGGCATAGAGGCTGTTTCCGAAAAAATAATCAAACTATAACGAATTTTTAAAATGTCAGGACTCATATAATTAACGAGTCAACTAGTTCTGGATTGAAGTATGATTGATTAATTTATCGATTGACAATAGGGCTAGATATGCCTTGTACTATCGGAAATTAGTTATAGGTATCCTCGTTATACTATTCGTTGTCGTTACCCATTTTAATATTTCTATATCTAATAGACCCATTCCTAAGGACACATGGCGCCATTTTGAACAGCCTAACCATTTACCCTCTAACCCTTCCCGTTCAGCCCCGAACCCAGTTAGGCCCCAATCACCCCTAAGAAGACATAATCTTGTTTTCTTCTACAAAACTAGGTTTTGCCCCATCATTAAATCCTAAGTTAAATGAAGGTAACCATAAGAAAGGTTTCTTGGTACAACAAGTTGACACTATCTGCGTATATAAGTTAAATCCAATCAAGAATGTAACATCCGTATCAGTATCACTCAGTCAAGAACACAAATAGCTACAAACTTACCAAATAAAGACTATTCAAGCACTTGGAGCAATCAGCAAGACCAGAATATCCATTACTGCTCAAACACTCTGTCTCCAATCTGTTCACCCTCTCACCACCAACCAATTCTCTACGCGAATTCACAAAGAAAGCTTCTGGGCAGCTAAGTGGATGCAGCCTAATGCCACAGTAACAATAAACAACATCACAAGTCTCATTTGGCTTCACCAACTCAATACCTCTGTTTTCCAAAGCCTTTCCAAAAGAGTTCACACATGTCTCAGAATCATCAGGGAGCACAGGCATGTTAACAGACGTTGAGTACTGTGGGAATTTAGCAATGGCTTTGTGAAGTGCGGTTCTTGAGTAGGCCGAGTAAAGCCATGCAGCGAGAACAGGGCAACAACGGGTCGGGTTTATTTGACCCGAATGATCATTGGACCTGCACGCTGATCTTATCCCTTTGTAAAGCTCTTCTGGCATGTCCAGAGGACAACTATCAATGTTTGACTGCTCCGGGAAAGCTGGAATTGTTGATGGTGGTGAAGGGGAAGGTGAGAGTATTTGAGGATCCAACTCAGTTGGGTCGGGTTCGGGTAAAACCGGATAGGCAGGTAATACAGTTAGATTGCTGATGTAAAGAACAATAAAGAAGGAGAAGAAGAAACAGTTAAGGGACATTATATTGCTTTGAGAATGAGGGGAAGTTGGAAGTTGAGTGGTTTGATAATTTGTATAGATGAAGATATATGGGAGGGAAAACGGAAGTATATGTTGATTATAATGGTGGGTTGTTTTCCTTTGGTTTGTGGTGCTGGATTGGTACTTGGTAGTGCTGGTTAGCAGAGGTAGATGGAGCCTTCTGATAATGCGTACAACTAAATGTATATTTTTCGACACAAAAGATATATGTGTAAAAAAATTTAAAAAAAAATTGAAGGAAAAAATTATCTTTGTGTGACTTGTACGTCACGTTTTCGAGCCGTAGAAACAGTCATTAATGCTTGCTAATGAGTAGACTGTCTATATTACACCTCTTAAAGTACGCATGCGTGAATACGGGATGCCTCAGACTACCTGCCTTTTACGATTTCAGTCCTAAGAACTTTTAAAAGTTAAAATCACTAACATTTGAATATGTCTCCCATGGTGAAAAAACAGTGGTAGTAGTTCAAAAGTTGATGTTGAACTTGAAGGGAGAGACTCAATGGGAAGCTAATAAGGGTGATGTAGGGTATGGAATGTCTTTGTTTGTTTGTTACTCCTGTTAGGCTTAGATATGTATGATCAGATTTCATGGTATGCTTTAAAGCAAATAATTAAGGGAACTGTGTCAACTACTTCTACTATTGGTCATGATTTACAAATAATTCATTGGCAGGTATCTCGGACTAAAAAAACCGGAGTTAGGAATTTAAGCTTATTCATTCTTGATTATAGAAAAGACGACTTATTGGGTTCTGGATAAATTATTTATACATATTAAGTGAATTTTTTAACGAAATACTAAGTTTAAGCCAAAGCTACTGAGTTTTACGTAGACTAGCTACGCCCCTCGTTGGCAGGGGCAGATGTAAAGTAGCAGCGTCGGGGTTCATCTGAATCCAACTTTCGACGCGTACGTAACATAAACTTATGTGGAAAATTTCACTAAAATTATAACAAATGATAAGCCTGAAGCCATCGGTTTAAAAATATAAGGGTTCAATGCTAAGAATTGAACCCATAAAGTTTAAATCCTGGATCCCGGTACAAAATTAATTAGTTGTTTAACATGGAGTAACTTTTAGAAGGTAGTGAAGATAGGCAACTTAAATCATTTAAATTCTTGAACAGGATCGGAGTCGTCGTCGTTTTTCTCATACAGTAAGTAATATTTACCCGAAAGACATCACAGTTACGGTGGGTTGAACTCATTATTAGTAGGTTTTCGTCCAAGATAATCATGATTACAAGTAGTACTACTTTTAAATCTTAGGTAACTAAGATGCAGACAGGAGAACAAACTTCGGTACTAAACAATCATCAAACTAAGGAAATTTAAGAATATAATGGTGTGTGACAGAGTTAACTGTTGCAATTAATGTAAGTGGTCAGAGATTACTCTACATAGAATATTTATTTATGAAGCCGAAATGGTAATCGTGTATATATCTTTAGCACGTATATGTTCACCACCACAAAATAAAAAAGTGAGCAAGAAAACACAAAAGAAGAAACAACGAAAGAAGATCTTTTGTAGTTGGAGAAGTGGTCCTGAGAAAAAGTTGTATTTCTTTCCTCTACATAAACAAAACATCATTAATTTCTTAGAAAAACTATTTAGTAATAATAAGATGCTTGATTATGACGTGCTATTAAATTGTTAGTTATATATACTTCTGTTATTCATCAATATCCTCTCAATTAACCTACTTTGCTGTCTATATGGTAATTTCCAAGCCAAAAGACATTTCTTTGTGTCTCTGTTTCTGTCACTCGGGACAAAATTTTCAATTCGTTTTGTGACTTTTAATCTAATGTTTTGCCGGAGGTATCCAGTTCTTTAGGAAAGTTTTCAGAAATCTATGTTCCTGTTTGTGTTTTTGGAATAATTAAAAGGAGCTTCTTTAATCTGTTTGAATAGATTGTACTTTGTAGTGTAAATGAATGTGCCGCTGCGTCAACTGAATATGTAGGAACATATATACTTCATTTCGATTTTCATTCTATTTATTACTGCACAATACGTTCGTGTGAAAATTGCCTTGTCGTAACGTTGAAAAATGACATGACTTTGAGAAAAAGCAGTAACACATGACATGGTCGTTGAGAGAGCAATAAACTCAATAATTGGAGATAGATATCACGAGGTCTCTATATCATATAAACCCCACTTCATCTGAAGATCCACATTCCTTCTGCAACTATCTTGTCTTTGTCCAGAATTCAACTCTCTAACTAGGCCAAAAGGAAGGCACGATTTATCTGTATTTTGTAACGAAATGCACCATAGATCATAAAAAGAAAGGCATCCCTCAAAGCTAGAACTTGTGTATTGTTATTTTTCATACCAAGTCATTACAAACTTCAACTTGTCACCAAGTAACTACAGTTTACAAAATAATATAAAGGTGTAATCTCCAATACACAAATAGCTGGAGAACATTTTCTCTTCCTGAGTATATGAAATAAAAGTTCATATAGTTTAAATAATAGCAACTGAGAACCTACCATTAGCTTCTGCCTGAAATGCAGGAGCAAACTTCAAAGGTTGGTCGTCCAAAAAAGCTTATGATTTACAGGACAAGGTGATATATAGTAGAGTATATAATCAAAATGTCAAATCTACTGCGTATGCTGGTAATAAATTAGGCATGGAGAGCAGCAACTTTTTGAGCTAAACCATCAACATCCTCGCTTTGTTCTTCAATTGGCTCTTCCTATCAGAAAAGTAGGAATAATGCCAATCAATTAGATCGCTATAGTAACAAAAAAATGCAGGAGCAATTTGTACTAAATTGGTTTTAAACGAAGATATTTGCAGGCGTTCTATTGAGTCGCCATTATTGGAATGGGCATTGCTGCTGCTTCTTCTTTTTCATTTTATTCCTTTTATACCATGAAAACAAATTCTTCATGGTGAATGTCATTATATTCAACAAATAAAGCAGTCACCAAAAAGTAAGCAAAAGAAAAAGGATAAAAGTTACCTCTGTATTGCTTCTTTTAACTTCTATACACTTTGAAGCACTGATACTAGCACTCTTCAGCAAACTACGAGCGCTATAGTTTGCCTTGTTTGGTCCATTTTGCATATTAGCATCTGAGTTCTCTGATCCCTCAGATTGCCCTGGTGGGCTCTGGAGAGTTGAAGCAACAGATGCTGAAGTTCGCTTTTCAAAATCATCGTTTTGGGAAGAAGTTTCATCTTTTGGTGCAGGAACCCGTTCTCTAAGATGAGATGAGGGTATTCGAAAAAGAGACCAAGTTAATACCTTGACTAAAGATGTGAATGGTATACCTCGAAATCACATTTGCTAAAGCACTTGCTATATATTCAAAGTTAACTTTGTTCAGGAAACACACACAGATAATAAAGAAAATCACACCAACCTACCACAACACTATCTGTTTAGAACTTCAACCTCAACCTACTCCGAAATGTTTCAGAGAAAATAATTTTTAAATTTAAATATATTTAACTTTCACTGTCTTTCAAGTCCAAAACTTCAATAACTGAGTTACACAAAACTTGAGCCAGAATAAGGAGCTTTTAATCTGGAACAGTGTGAAAATGTCAATATTTTCTCCAGATAAATGACTTCTAATTCTGCAGACTCCTGAAGAGACCCTTCCTCAGAGCAAAAGAACAAAAGTATTGACTACGAACCTAGGCAAGGATGCATGCTGCCTCTGAAGTGGAGTGCTTCGTTCACCTTTACCATAATGCTCCTCAAGATGTGCAAACTGTCGCTTGAACCGATCGACACCACTAAATTGACATAAAAAAAAGACCATCAAAATAAGTATTTCTCAAATAGCAGTACGAAACATTTAGTATAACATGTTCACAAAGTAGAAGCAGATACACAAATTTACATACACACACATCATATATATATATATATATATATATATATATATATATATATATATNCAGCGCTCAAGAACAAAGGAGTCAATTAAAAAAAGATGCACTAATATGAACATGGTTTTGTTTTCTGCTGTTAAGAGCTGTTAGTCACCTTATCATGGCAGAAATTCTGCAGGGCTTTTGTTCCTACGCAACACTATTACCAGAAGAACCATCAGAAATAGAGTGTTATATAATTAGATAAATTTGGTTTAAAATATCAATTCTCCATCTCAGTTCTCAAAGCTTGAATTTTGTTGATTACCAGAAGATTCATAGGCGTATATGTATCTGGGGAAGGAGGAGGACAACCTCAAATAGAGCCAAACTCAAAAAAAAATTGATGATCAGTTCTGCCATGAAATATTTATAATTTATCACTAACATGGTTTCCTATGGGATAGATAAAAGGTGATCCTTTCTTGAAAATCAGGATAAACAACAATAAATAATGATGTAGAGGAAGATAAAGGCAAAATCAATATCAAATTTTAACACTTGAAACCTAATCTATCCCCATCAATAGGTGTGAGCTCCATATGGAATGGATAGACGATCCGAAAGAATTTACCAATGGACACACATTCGCCCAACAACAGGGGTATTTGAAGGTAAGAAAACACTTTTATGTAATATCTTGAGGTTTCTTCCACTTTGGCAAAGAGCTGTGACTGCCCTCCAAACCTACGTTATAGCTTTCGATCGCTGGAGGAAACTAAAAGACAAGCTTTTCAAGCAAAGGCAGAAGAACGTGCTAGAAAAGAACATAAACTCTGTGGAGCAGCTTTAAGTGGCTCCTAACCTTGGGTACATAAATCCACTAGTCTGATCTCCGCCACGAAGATACTCCTGAAGCATCTGAGGATGATATTCTAAAATCTGTTTGCACAGAGCAAGTTTAAATATTAATAAGTTGATCCATTTCACACAAATGGGAGCCATTATAATCGAGGAAACTGCACCTCCCGATAAATGAGCTCTCTAACATCTTCTTTTGCCAACTTTCTCCTCTCAAATTCAAACTCAAGCTTTGATATTGGGTGAGTGGATGGTTCACGGTCCACATTTGACAAACCACGGAAATAAGGATCACCCAGTGCCTAGAAAACAAGGTCATGAATGTGTGAGACAGTCTTGCCACATTATCAGAGTCAAGATTTTCTTTGATAGATAAAACAATATAAAAAATTCTCCGTTTCACCATTACCTCTTCCGCAGATGGTCGATCTTTAGGGTCAAATGCAAGCAGGCATTCAAGTAGGCGCAGAGCGAAAGGATCCACGTGTGGAAATTTTTGTGAAAATGGAACAGGTGGTTTTTTCCGCATGTTACTGAGGTATCTTCTGGCCTTCTCATTTCTAATCTGCCAGTTCAGTAGAATTTCTTATGTAAAACAGGAAAAACTATAGTGGGATGTAAAAAATGATATACTGAGACCTCTCAGCAACTATTCTTTCGCCTTAACCTTTGTTCTCTGATGTTCTTACTAGCAAGTAATAAGATGTCTTATCATCCCAATGATGCTGATCAGACAGAACATAACAAAGAAACCTGAGAAAGGAAGAAAAGTAAGTAACCAACCTTTGCAACGGTTTCAGGAGGAGGTGTTCCTAGTAAATCAGTCATAAGGTCTAATTGATGCACCACATTCTTTCCAGGAAATAATGGTTTTCCAGTGAGCATTTCTGCAAATATGCATCCGATGCTCCAAATATCAATAGCAGGAGTGTACTGCAAATGGATAACTCTTAGAGATGGTACATGTCACAACAACAACAGCTACTACTAGGCCTCAGTCCCAAACAAGTTGGGGTCGGCTATCTGAATCCTCACTTACCATGTTTCTCCATTTAAATTCATCTGAAGATAACAATATACAAAATAAAAATAAAAAGTACCAGAAGTTATCTATATTTTCTACTGGCATAGAGATAGTACATGTCACGGCACAAGTAAATACATATATGTCAAAAACAGAAATAAACTCTCAACAAATATCATATGATATAGTTGCTTTAGCATGAAATCACGTCATCACTGTTTACAGTTTTGACATCACAGTACAGGAAAGAACAAACCCTCGTTTTTGAAGTGGTGAAAACAATAGTAAAACTCAAATAATTGTCTCTGTGTATGATGCAAAAGAGCAGCTCCCAGCTCATACCAAGCTCTTTACCGAATTAAGTCCCAACTCCCAAGAGATACCTCAATCAGACTCCAGCCAGTCTTCAATAAGAAATTCTCAGAAGATCAACCTAGCCTGGGACATTCAGACTCAAGGCCCATACCAGCCAACTAAAAGCCTAGTGAGCTGTAAAAGCAATCAGACAACCTAGGAACTCAAACTATAGTTACTCAAAAAGCAGAAACCGGAAAAACTGCATGACGTAAGACTAAGGGCCTTGTGCGCCCTCCGCACAAGATTACAAGGGCCCTAGTCCGTCACTTTACTGGATCATAAGTTGAAGTCAAAAATAGAGATTATTTCTTTCACGCTTTTCTAGCCTTATTTAAGGGCTTGGAATATCTGAGAGTGGCACCACATTGACGTGGAGATTAACACTGAAATCCTTCTTCAACATCAACTTTATAGCTGAAATACACTCCTTTTTGTGGACATACCGCGATCACCACAAATGCATCCGCATACTCAGCACATTATCTAGGCCAGATACTCCCACACATAAGGGCAGGAAATACTCCTTGGGCTAGAAACTCAGACACTCTCATAGACAAACTGCCCTAACTGTCGTTTTCGCAAGCAGGTACTGTTCCAAGAGATTGTTACTCTTCCCCCACAGGAGAAATGACCTGCGTCTTTGTATTCTGACGTTGAGACCTGACATACTTACTGTTGCAGGACCACTAAAGAGAAAAAGCTGCACAGCTTGTTCACAACATAGTATTACTCGCATTGAACTAGATTTGAGAGATTGATGCTCATGACCATCCTTTTCCTTAAGATGAAATAGGAATCTTCCACTTTCTTATAACTGCAAGTTGAATAGGTCAGAATACTGGGCTACTGTAAACGGGGACCTCTCACCTTTAATTCCATTTAAAGAATAAATCTACTACAAAGCTCTTGAACTCGAAAACTGTCTTCCAGCAGGCTCTCAGATTACTTTTTCAAACAATAAGCCCCTCATTAATCCAATTGCCTTCCACTTGTAATGAACCTACAACTCTATACATATAACACTGGTAATATGACAAAAAGCTTGAATCCTCAATTAAAACATTCTCCCAACCAAGTAAAGTACAGAATAGAGAAAAAATGACGTTATCAACGTCATAATAATGTGATTTATACGTCTTCGTCAAAACTGATCTGACTTCTATGTATACTACAGAAACCTCAACATGCTTCCTCTCTCTCCACCAACCTCTAATCTTCCCTTCGTTTAAAGTGTGATCCATCACCTGATCTTGAACTTTGCAATCAAACAAGACTAGTTTGCAAGTAAATTCTGAAGCATCATTGAAGCTGCAATGAGTCAATAACCCTCCTCCAGGCACTTATGGGGCAAATAGAATATGACATCATATGAGTTGATTCGTTATCAGCCACAAAAGTATTTAAGTGCAAATATAGTTCAATCTACAATTTTTCCAGTCTTCTCCCAAGATAGAAACAGAGCGACATACAACCCAAGACTATCAAAGAAAAGCAAAAGAGAGGAAACAAAGAGTGTAAACAGATTAGAAACAGAAACTTGACCACAATGCATTATACTGAGTGTCACAAACTGTTCTAAAGATAAGTGTCATTGCAGTAATTGCAATTGGAATGAACAATTAAAACTTTGGATATAGCTGATAAAGCTAACATACCTTGGAGAAAAAGGAGCCACATAGCTCAGGAGCACGATACCATCGAGTTGCAACGTAGTCCTTAAATACATGAAATATATCAGAAATCTCTCAAATCTGAGTACTAAAATAACGAGAAAAGAGGAGCCTTCTAGAACTCAAACATACAGTCCAGAAAATAGCTGATGGCGTGTCATTAAATGATACACGAGCAAGGCCAAAGTCACAAATCTTCAATTTACAGTCAGCGTTAGCAAGGATATTCTTCGGCTTTAAATCTCGATGGAAAACGTTTGCTGTTAAGGGGGGCCAAAAAGGACATGTCATTTATCCCGAGGAAAAGTTAGCTTCTCCATCATATAGAGATGCGTCAAAGAGAAGGTTTTAACTTGTATAAAGAACAAACCTGTATGAATATATTTTAATCCTCGCAGAAGCTGGTACAGAAAAAACTGATAATGCTCAGGTGTAAGATCATCATTGGCCTTAATTACCTGGTGAAGATCAGACTCCATCAATTCAAAAACAACGTAAATATCTTTAAACTCTCGCCGAGATGGGGGTAACATGATGTGCTTTATTTCTACAATATCAGGATGTCGTAGTAGCCGAAGAAGCTTGATTTCTCTTAAAATTCGTGTGGCATCAGAGACATGCTCAAACACGTCATGAATCTTCTTGATTGCAACTCTTTCTCCAGTTTTGGTATCAACAGCGGATGCCACAACTCCATAGCTACCCTTGCCGATAACTTCCTGAATTTGGTATCTGCTTGCTTCTCCATATTCTGTGAAGAATTCCGCCTCCTGTGTATTCTGAATAGCAATGTTCCAGTCAAAACAAATGTGATTGATATCTGCAGTATGAAACAACTGCATCTTCCCCTCCCCTTACCCATGTAAGTCCAGATAGAGATTAAAAAAATTACAAAGCACGAATACACCACAGAACCGTAATTCTGCAAAATAATTTTGTCTAAGGCTACTTTATGTGCTTGAAATAAGCATACAATACTAGAAGAAAATAAAAACATCACGAAACTTATGCTCGGAACATGATCCTTCCACGAGCGAAAGATATCTGATAGGTTTTCAACAAAATCTACTAATAGATTCCAAGATTCTATAAAATACTGGTCATTGGCAGCAATTAGAACTTTATTTATCGTGATATTAAGCAATCAGAGAGGTAGCAAAGACAACAATTTCACACACACAAAAAAAAAAAAAAATGGACGAGAATACAATTTAGGTAGGAAAGAAAGTTCAGAGTTTTTAATTTATTTATTTTTTTGGTAACTCTAATTCACCCTGCAATATCTATTTCATTTCAATGACGTAAAAACAAATAGATAGAAAGATCTAAAAGAGTAAAGTTGCGAACTTTACTTTCCTTTATCCTCTTTAGTAATATTTTCTACAGATATCAACTGAATTCTCAAGTGGGAAGCCAAATTCTATATACATACATTAAAAACAGACATCAACAAGATCATTTACATCAATTTGAGCTGTAGAATAATGCTCAAACTTAATCCAACCGCATGCACCATCAAAAAGTAAAAAGAACAAAAGTCAATAAACATAAAAAAACCAGGCTCCTGAATTGTAAAAATCATGGTAAAAAACGGACCTTTTTGTGAGGATCCATGGTAAAAGGGAAATCGACCCGTTTGGGGACTGAGATAAGTTTAAGACCCGAAATGTCAAAGTCTTCGATAATGGTAAGTTCTTCTTCTGAAAAATGAATGGGCTTTTTTTCAAAATTATTACTATTCAAGATCGAATCTGCATTGCTATGAACAATAGTAGTAGTTGTTGTAGTAGTAGAACGACGTTGAAACCAGCGACGAAATCCATCCACGAATGTATTACCACCCCCCATATACTACTTCCCCCCTTCCCTTTGTTTCTTTTTTTTGTTTTTCCTAAACTGTCGTGTTGATTCTTGATTTCCTACCACAAGATCTCAGCATTCTTCGCTTCCTCTCTCTCTCTCTCTCTCTCACACACACACANTATGTTGTTCCTCTTGAATTTGCCAATTGTTCCTATCAACTTTTGGTAAATGATGTTTATTCTTTTATTTTGCCCTCTTGAATTTGCCAATTGTTGATATCAACTTTTGGTATTTATGTGTACTTTTTAATTTTCGAAATTCAAACTTATTAATTTTAATTATGTATTTTAATATAAAATTTACATATGTAAAAATTACGTGAAAAATATTACTTCTATAAGTAACAGTAATTAATAATTTACAATATTTAAAAGACATATAAGAAAAATACGACCAAAGAAAAATTTATTTCACTCTCAAAATTCGAATACTGTCACGTAAATTGGAACGAATTGAGTACTATTTGTTCTGTTATGTTTATATTGTTCTCTTGAATTTGCCAATAGTATTTCTTCTATCAAAGGTACTCTTTCATTTTACGAGACATTCTTTTTTATATTGTTTCAAAATGATTAACATAAAAAGATTATTTAATCATGACATTTACATTTTGTATATATTTAGTTTTTGTATCTAAAATTTTCATTTTTTGGTTAGATTTTATATTCGATTAAACGCCATCTCATCAAATAATTAAGACAATCAACTAACCATGAAAATTATAAACCTCTGCTACTTAAAAAGGAAACTATTTTCTCAAGAAATGTCTCTTAATGACAAAAGAGAAAACCTAGCCGAATAGTGGCTACATGTGTTACATTTCTACTGACCAAAATAAGTAGAACATATATATCCATTGTCCATATATTCTTAGGTTCTCACATCTGGTCAATAAACACTAAGCATTCTTAATTATTTGTTAAACTAGTCATGTGATAGAAACTGATTGATAGATAACCACAGTGTTTTGGGACATTCTCCACTTCATGCTAGCCTCACATATTGATTATCTCACATTTTTAAAATATTTTTATCATGATTAAGCACGACGTTGTTTCAAACATTTGCAAACAAAACTCTGTTTCGGAACTTTGATTATGGGATAAGAAAATAATACTGAAAAGTTATATTTTTCGTCACCATGATTTTTGTGTGAGTTAGTAAAAGTCTTATGATTGTTGTGTGAAAAAATAAAGTTATATGACTTTGATAAAAAAAAAGTCATAATTATATGTTCATTTATGAAATTTTACCCACCTCGACTACTAAAAAAGGAAGCTATTTTCTCAAGAAATGTCTCATAATATCAAAAGAGAAAACCTAGCCGAGTAATGGTTACATGTGTTACATTTCTACCGACCAAAATAAGTAGAACATGTAAGGTCAAATACCTATGCGGTCCTTTAAACTTGACTCCACTTTTCATTTTAACATTTTAACTAAGGCTAATACCTATTGAACACTTAAACCTTGTCTTACTTGTGCCTATTAAACACAATAACTCACATGGCAAAAAAAGTGTATTTCACCACTCTTAAGCGCGCGAATGGATCTGAAATTATATTTTTTCTTTTTCTTTTATTTAAAGAAAAACCCCTTTTTCTAAAGCAACTGTATCACCACCTTATTAACTTTATTATTGTCGCTCCTCAACTATTAGTGCCACCATTCTCTTTCGTTTTTCTTTCTCCTCACACCACCCTCCACCCTTCCCCTTTGTTTACCCTCAAAATCGGATAACAATTGAATTGGATAATTTCAGCCTAGGAAAGCTGGTCACCCTCGAGTTGAAAGTACTTTGATCGACAACAAGACACCAAAGAATAAGAACTTGAAGAATAACGGTAAAGTATTGCTTACAAGTGTATGTTACAATGTCCTTCATGAATTGTGAGGCCCCCTTTATATATTAGAGGAACCTACTTTTAAGGTATTATTCTATTATTCTATAAAAGGTAAAAAGGTCCTTGATTTGCTAACCGTTAGTCCCTTTTTCATATGTTCTGTGATTTCCGCCGTAATATCCGGTTAATTGCGGGAATTTCAGACCTTTGTCGGATAAGCTGGCAATATGTTCCTTGAGACCGTTATAACCGGGGCCGGTTATGACCTCGGTAAACTCGAAGGCAAGTTTGGTAGTTCCGGTGGCTAATTCGATAAGGCAGGAACCGATCTCCGGGATTTTATCACCATTTCTCGATCTCAAACTGTCGTGTTGGATGCTCGGTCAAATCTCGAGTTCGATTTTACCTGTATACAGATAGTCCCCTCATTTTCGGAGAGTAAATGATGAGAAACGATATGAGCTCCCGATTCTTACTTCGATAAATCATGTCGTAAGCGATAAAAATCATGACGTAAAGTCTACTCATTTTTCGGAGAGTAAATGATGAGAAACGATATGAGCTCCTGATTCTTACTTCGATAAATCATGACGTAAGCGATAAAAATAATGAAGTAAGTGACAAAAATAGTTGAAACGTCCCGTCGGTCCAGTTTTTAAGGCATTAAATGCTTGTCAATTGCTGGTCGGCCACTCCCAGATGCGAACCGTCACTTGAAAAACTATAAATACCTCTTTCTTTGGTCATTCAAACCTTCTTCTCTCGTGTCTAAGAGATTTCAACTCTTCCAAGTTCCTTTGTTCTGATTTACTAAGATCTTTCATAAGAGTTCTTCATCCGCTTATCATCCATTATTCCTCATTCAAACCCTCTTTTCTTTATATCTCTTCCATTTTTTAAAGAACTGGCGAAGACTTCAAAATTAGTTCCTCAAAAAGAAATTCCCTCTTCCTCGCGACCGGCTGTTGAGGAAAACGTTTCGTCTATTGCTGATGAGGAACCGACACCGGAGCCTCCTCGAAAATTGTTCATCCCCGCGGGGTGCTCGACCAGTGTTGATTTTAAAATTGAGAAACCCTCCTTGGTACCGGGTCGGTGTGAACCAGTCTCGAGATATATCTGCTCAATCACCGAGGAAGTCCTCTCCGAGGTCAAGAAAGATTGCAACTGGGCTAATAAGCACATAGTAGTCCCCAAGCCCGAGGAAGCTATTATAACCCACGTGCAGATTTTTTTATGTGTTTATACTTATCCCTTCACGATGGGCCCCTTGGACCCGGTCATTATAGCCTTTTGTAAGAGGTACGAAGTGACCCTCGGTCAAATTCACCCTTCCTTTTGGAGGATAGTAATTCTCCTCTGTTTCTTCGTAAGCAATATCGAGGGGTATCCCTTCACTATCGACCATCTCATGCACTTATATAGCCCCCGAATTTATCGAGGGGGATTAATCAAGCTTGCCCGTTCAGCTAGTAAGGCTCCGTTCTCAAGCATCGACGAAGATCGGGACCGAGGTTGGTTGGGCTGATTCGTCCGAGTGAAGACCTCGGATTTGATCCCAGTTGAGTATATGCCATTTCCTGAAAATTGGAACATGTCACGTAAGTATAATCTTACTTTTAAGATTTTATTCATTGCTCTTCCTTTCCCTCTCTCTCCTCATTAGTGTTTTGTGGTGGTGCAGTTATCTCTCGGATCTCGGATGCAGTTCCTCGACTCAAGGAGTGGGTTGAGGGTATTGTAACACAGAGGCCAATTCTGAGCGTTAGTGGTGCGAGCTTTCGAAGGGCCGATGGTAGACCCGTTCCCATGGTGAGATTTTTCTCAAGTGACATTTGATTTCCCTTTCAGCTATCGATTTTTTACTTGCTTAACTTCTTTTTTGCAGGTTTACCAAAATATGTTGAGATGAGGCCTCCATCTGGTGATGACGATATCTTCATCGAGCCCCCTGCTTCGGGGCAGGATAAAGAGAGGAGAAGAAAAGGGGCTCCAAGTTCTCCGGGCCCTGAGAAGAAGAAGCCAAGGAAAAGATTGACACGTAAACCCAAGGAAAGCACCAATGCTCGAGCACTGTCTCTGGACTCACTCAATCGATTGAGGGATGAGTTCGAGGGGGAAGGAGAAGCCTTCGATCTGGTGGCCAGCATTCCGCCGCAGCTCGAAGGGCAAGGGGCCTCCGAACCAGGGGGAGGCGAGGCTGATCGTCATCAAGTCGGGGAGGTTGAGGAGGAGGCAGGAACTGAAGCTTCCCAGGATGCGAGCAAAGCCCAGCAGGAAGCACTTGGCCCGATAGAGATTGTCGAGTCGCCTTTGTTCACAGATTCAACGTTCAACGAGGCCCAAGCTATAAAAGAATGCCCCATCGAGGGGGCCCATAGAGCGAACGACCCTTTTACGATTTTTTCGATGGCGTGGATTCAACGGCCAAGGAGGACGCCATCAGATTTGGCGGTTTAGAGATACTGAGGAAGAGCTCACCCTATGAAGCAAGTGGTCCTTCCTCGAGCCCGAAATTGATCAACCGATTCCCTGCCCCGAGTGCATATCCCGATCGAAATGTACCATTGTTATTTTCTCTTCTAGAGGACACCCGGGCTCTTTCTGCCCCCATAGGGATGGCCAATTATCTTCGGTGTCTGGTGACCAAGGATAACTGGGCCGAGATGAATGAGGTGGAGGCACCTTGCTTATTCAACGAAGCGCAACAGGCGCTTAACCGAGTAATCTTTGTATTTTCCTTAATGATATTCAATTTTGTACTTAGGTTATTTCATAGATAACTTGACGCTTTTCTTCGTGCTTGTAGGCATCAGTGCTTTATCACGAGACATTTTTAAGGTATCGGGACGAGCTGAAACAACTTGAAGCTGAAGTTCGAGAGCTCACTGAGAAGAGAGATGCCTTTAAACTTCTTAGCGAGCAGTTCGAATGGGAGGTTAAGAACCTCTGCACCGAGCTGGAAGTTGCTCGGAAAGAACATGCTAATTTGGTCGAGCAGGTAAAAGTTTTTGAGGTTAGTGACGATGAATTTGATTTGGTGACTGATGGTCAAAATCCGCAGGTCCAGCAAAAACTCGATCGGATTGACCAGCTCCGGGCTGAAATGGATATAGTCAAAGCTGAGATCGATGAATGAAGAGGCAGAATGGACCGTCTAGCCTCAAAAAAAAGGTTGCTCAGGCACAACTAACTTCGGTTGAAATCCAGCTTAGAGCGGAAAAGGAGAGGGCCGAGGTTCAGACCAAAAAGGTTGAGGAGCTTCAAT